TTGAGCCGGAGCCAGGGTGCCGAAGGCACCCGGGTTCTGAGTGAGCGTCTGGATGAAGGCGGAGAGTGCCGAATGAACGTCGATGGTGAGGACCGGAGGGCTGACTTGGTCATCGCTCCGGTTCTTCTTTTTGGCCTCGATGCCGAGGCGGGCATCGGGGGCATTCTGCTGGATCTGAAGGCGTAGGTCGACAGCCGCCTGTTCCAGCCCAGCGATGACACCGCCCTCGGGAGCCCTGTGAGAGGCTTCGGGGGCGTTGACGTCGCCGAGGGCCAGGTTCTTGTCTTCTACGTTTTTGGAGTTGGCACGTGTTGTTCTCACCATTTTGGTAGAGGGCTAGTGTTTGGCGAAGGGGGAGGGTTTCTTACTTGATTGTTCGACCTCTCAACGAGAGCACCAAATGATGGATAGTGTACCCGGGGGGTAGCTTATCCGGGGGTTATTGTGGGGAATAACAAGAGAGAAGTCAGAGCAAGTAAGTATAGAGAGAGAAAGTGTATTCAGAAAGTATGCAGCGTTTATGACTTGTGACTTGGTTACAAACGGGGAAATGGGGTGCTATTTATAGTAGCAATAAATGCCGGATAGGGACACGTGTCAAGCGTCCATTGGCCGAGAGGTCACCTCATCTGGTTGGCGCTGGCAACCGCATGTGGCCGCATTTAATGCGGCTGTTGGATGGGACGTTGCACAGGGTACGATGATCTGTACGCATGTGGCGCAGATATCATGTCAGGGAAGGTGCCCTCGGCTGTAGAGGACTAGCCGAGGGCACCGAGTACTGGGGACCCCCTTGGCGCCGAGGGCTCCAGGTGCCGAGGGCTACTGATTTCCGCCGTTTTTCTCCCAGTTTCTCAGTTTGCTTGAAAAACCCGTTCTGTGAGAGTTTTGAGCCTTCGGCCAGGGGCCGAAGGCTCCCCAGTGCGCGCTGTGGGCTGCTAAGTGCTCGGGGGCGCCGTAATTTGGGCCTGCTATGCTTCCTGGGCCGGTTGGGCCTTTATTGGTGTAGTAGGAGTCTGTGGGCCGGGGGTTCCCGGGCCATATACTCCATCAACAGGTGTGCATGTAGTTTATACCTAGTATATTTTTGGACGTAATTTAGTTTTTATTATTCTACAATACATTTTTCCATTTTAATATACACAAAAGATTGTAGTTTTAATTACTGCGGGAAACTAATTGTTATGATTGAATAGTTTTGATGACTATATTTCAAAATTAATAAATTAGCTAAACAATTATTTAGCCTATTTAGCATATCCGCACATAAAATTATAGTTTGAAACAGCAACAACAACATCCAAGCCTTATTCCTAAAACAAATTTGGGTCGGTTAAGATCACTCTAAGAGAATATGTCTTTTTCTAAAACCGGGTCAATTAGGGTCAAAACCGGACCAAACCGGAAAATTCAGGTCCGGACTAGTCCGGACCGGTTAGATTCAGGTCCGATCTTCGGTCCATGGAAAATGATGATTCCGATTCCGATCCTAACCGGTTCCGGTCCGATCCGGTCCGGTTTTGCATTGTAGCAACCTTGATGCGCTAGTGGAAACCCCAATCTCCTACATTCCACGTGTTGCGGTTATTAAAGAACCGCCACGAATATTAAAAAAAAATACGAGTTCCATGTGTCATGTGTGGCCTAATTTCTTTTTTTGTGTTACAGTATTAGATATTTCTTTTAGATAGCTGTTTTTAAGTTTTATACTTCTCTAGCTTGGCCTAATTTTGTAAAGTTTTAATTATAAAATGTAATGTAATTTTATTCTTTAGAGCTGTTCTTTTGCTATATCCACACAGTGTGGGATTTTGGATTGCTTTCATGTTTTCAGAATTTGAAAGGATCTGTTGAATTTATTCGGAGTATACTAATGCTACAATTGTTTTTTTTTTGGATTACAGGTTCACAGCTGCCACAGTGCAACAGTAATAGGAGATTAGGATCGAGGGAGGTTCAAGCTTCAAGAGTTCAAGGGAATTATGCACACTGACAGTAGGGGTGACCCGTGCTAAGCTTATTACTGAGTGGTGTCAACTTTAATATCTAACCATTATTATAATATATTTATCATTATCCACCTATAAAATTTATAGTAAATTATCATCTCAATAACTAATAATTTGAATAATTTTGTTTGTACCTCTTTAGTTAATATAGTCTTTGAATAAACTTTCCAGCTTCATTGAAACTTTACTCCAAAGCAACTTTTTTTGATAATCAAATACTAATTTATTCATTAAATTATAATAAAAGAATATGTGAGTAAATAGTCAAAGGCTACAATGAGATGACACATAGAACGGAAAAGATATCACGAATTTTTCAAGATCGCTAACCCCACAATAATGCAGCTTAATCTATCGTTCATGCTGCTCTTCTTGCTACTTCAAAGAAAAATAACAAATTACAAATAAAAGATCCGGCTTCACCGGTCACCAGGAAAGGAGAATTGCTTTGACCAACAACCAACAAGGAAACTCAACCGAGTAGAAATTGACCAAATCAACGATTTGACTAGCCATCGAAAAGTAAACCCAACCATTCAATTGACTGCTAACTTTCTCTCATAATGAGATGGTGATCAAGGTCAAACTCGTCTTGCCTACCATTAATAATGAAAATTCACCACTCGATCGATTACACTAACGAGGAACACACAGTCTCTAGACATTTATAGGAGAAGAACCCGTCTCACGCTCACCCAGGACGCACATAACTCTCGGTCAAAGAATAAATCAGATCAAAATCAGAACCCTTGCGGGAAGATAGAAACAAAAAAGAATGGTGGCATATAATGTTAGAATTGGCGGTATTATATAGTATAAAATAAGGGTGTATAAATATGGTTGACCGGATATCACTTCTAGTCATGTATAAAATACGATTTCCTAAAAGTTGACTATCTACCCTTATCACAGTAACCGAGTTACAAGATAGAACTTTTGGGATAAAAAGAAGGTGTATGATGTATTTTAGTTACCGATGAAATAACACCGAATAAGTGATTTGCATATGTGGAGGTATTGGCCCCACGGGCCAAGACAGACCTCTTCACACTTGTTGGGCCTGTTTGCTTGCCTCTTGCCCTGGTCCAAGTTGTTCTGCCGCTAGCCTTTCTTCTGGAACCCTCCTTTAGGGCTTCCCCTCTTGCCCGGGTACTTAAGCCCCTCTTCGTCTTTGGTTGACGCTGAGGTCTTCAGTTAGAGAGAGAGTGAGGTTAAGAGAGAATAGTGAGAGAGACTTCAGTCTCTTCTCCATTCCGATCCCTCTGTGGTCTTCTCTCTGTGCTTCCCCTTTTCTGACCTTTGGCGTGCGTTGAGATGGCTGGGCTGACCTGAGTGTTCTTGTCCCTTCCGATGGTGCTTGATTGTGTGTGCTGTATGAGCGTGGTCTGAGTTGGAGAGGTGAAAACCTGACAGTGGTATCAGAGCCGGAACTCCTGTCGTCATCGTCTACAGCCCGGGAGCTCCTCCGCCGCCATCCGCCGCAGATCTCCGTTTCAGTGGTAAGTCGAGAAGCCCATCCTCGGGTTCTCGCTCAGGTAAATTGGCGATAAACACCCTAGGTAGCCGGGTGCCTCCGGTTTTGTGTGTTTCTTGGTGTTTTTACTTGCTTCATCCCTTTCCCCGCTTTGCTCTTGCTGCTGACCGTGTTGGTCTGGCTGTCAGTTGTAACTGACGATTCCCAGGTGCGTTCTCTTTACCTTCGTGTGTGAAGTTGGTCTGCATGAGTGTTTTGTGTTTGCGGGATTGAGGTTTTGAACTGGTATTCCGTGTTTCTGTCTCCTTTGCGTGTTTATCTCTACTTTACTGCCCTTTTGTGCTTACTTGGTACCCTTGTGAACTGGGATTTTTTGCCTCTGTGACTCGGCACCTGAGGTTAGGACTGACAGGTTCCCTGCCAGTCACTCTAGTGGCCTTCGGATCTGTGTGGCCTGTCAGGCCGCAGCCGGGTACACTGGTGAACCCTAGCTCCTTGGTTCTCTGTCTCTCTGTTTGCTATCTTTCATTTACCTTGTCTTCTGCCACTGATTCTTCAGTGTTATCCTTATTGTGTTCATCTTTATGTCTGCCAATATGTATGGTATGTTACCTTTTAATGGAAAAACTGATTTTGACATTTGGAAACAAAAGATCAAATGTGTTTTAATCCAGCAAAAGGTTTTCAGAGCTGTAAGTGAACTTTATTTGGATTCTGATGATAGTGCAAAGAAAGCTGAAATGAATGAAACTGCCTGCTCTACTATATACCTTAACCTATCTGACTCTGTGCTTAGAAAGGTTGGTATTTTAGATTCTGCTAAAAAGTTGTGGGATAAGTTAGATGAGCTTTATACTGATACCTCTCTGCCTGGTAAACTGTTTTTGCTTGAAAAATTCTTTCGGTTTAGGCTAGACCTAACCAAAGACATTGATGAAAACTTGGATATTTTTAATAAGTTGATCCAGAACATAAAACAATCTGGTGATAAACATATTGATGATTATACTGCTATTGTGTTGCTTAATGCTATTCCTGATTCTTATAATGATGTTAAATCTGCTATTAAATATGGTAGAGATGATGTCACTCTTGATAGTGTTGTGAATGGCCTTAAGAGTAAAGAGCTTGACCTTAAACATAATAGGAGTATCTCTAGTCAATCCAAGGATTCGGGTGAGGTGATCGCTGTATTTTTTTTTAGTGAGTAAAACGTAGTTGGTTAATACGTAGAATAACCAGACCACGAGTATCGTCTCTCAAGGAGTGGCAAAAAGGAAGTTTTAAATACTGTCCGTGATCACAGGCTAGCACAAGTCATGGTAATCTTTCCGAATAAATTGTTTTCAGGTGATTAAAAAAAAGTAAACTAACTAACAACGAGTGCAAAAAAATAAATAGAGTAAGTTTTTTTTACCTGATTCTAGATATTAAAATAGGGTTCAAATTGAATGGTTTAGGTTCTGGGTGTTCTTTCAGGATTAAAATTAAGTAAATTAATTTTCAATTAATCCTCGATAGAAAATGAAATCAATTCTCAAAGATAAGAATTAAAATATATTATCACAATCCTAACTTATTTCTAAGATCAGATTGCTTGTATAAGATCCAAGCTAATTTAACGCAAATTCCATAGACAAGAATTGAATTAAATCCAAACATTCATATATGAGGCGATCAAATTCATATAGACAATTAAGAGTAATCTTATACAATTTTCCAGAAAATTAATTGAATTTCAAAAACTAAATTCACACCCTCAAGAACCCATGAACCCTAGCCCCAATTCAAACCCTTTATGAAATTAGCTACTCATACTTAAAATTAACATCACAATAATATAATTAAGCATGATAAAGGCCTTGAAAAAAAACTGAAGTAAAATAATCGTTTGGGAATACTAAATTATCAGTGGGAGAAAAATAACTCCGAAATTTTATCCTAAATTGAGAACAAGTAATGTAAAATGTATTTAACTTACAGTGAATGTTTGGAATCTAAATAAACTTGGAAGATATTGAAGGAAGATTGGAGTTTAGAAACTGTTCTAAGTTTCTTTACTTCTGGTGCGGCTACTTCCATAGAACAGGACAAAGAATTGCAGGTTGGTCTAGTTGCTGCTGCGGTTGGTCCTCATGAGAAGGAAATAAAAAACTGCTAGTGCGTGACTAAGTGACAAGGTGCAGAAGGAATTCCCCCCAAAAAAATCTACGGCTGCTTGTTTTTGTTCTTCGTGAATGAATGTGCCCCGGGGAAACCCCAACTCTTTTTTTCCCTTTTTGTTTTGGGCTGCTGCTATTTTTTTCTCTTTTGGGCTGAACTTAATTATTCAAAAAAAAAATTCAATCTGTTCAGCCGAACATAACGTGACATTCACCGCAAAATTCAGTCTGTACAATCACAACTCACCACATCCGGTAAAAATATGTAATTTTACAATCAAATTACTCCAAAAATGTCAAATTGTGTAGACAAATACTAAACTGAAAATGAATGGCACCGGGACCGAAAAGTTACAAATTTTCATTCAAAACCCCCAATAGTCACCCGATTAATTATAAAAATTAGACAATTAACACCCAAAATATGGGTGAAAAGATAGGAGCGGAACGAGCCTATCAAATCTCCCCACACTTGAGCGTTGCTTGCCCCCAAGCAACAGTGCATTAAAACCACGAAAACAAAATAATCACATGTAACACCTGGTTCAAAAATCATTCACACCCAAAACAAATGATTGCACAAGGTCTTTTCTTTCTTAACAACGAAACCAAGATTCACATGTTAAACAATATTATCAAAAGTAAAATCCCTCTCCAACCGACTAAAATGTTGAGAAAAGCATTATGGTCCCAACGGTGTAGGTGTGTGAAATCCAAACCACCAATCATTCCAAAAACCCAAGAATTGTGTGATAAAATCGGTATGCTCGTGATTCAATTTTTTTTTTTTGAAAAGTTGGCGAGGTTGTGAATTACAGGGCTGATTCTAGCTATAGGGCCTGGGAGTTTATCTCATTACTATGCATACTCAACTCTCACACGGGGTGATTCGTGAGATGAGCAGAGCCCCTTTCCGAAGATGAAATTCTCGACACACGAAGTGTAACCCCATTACAAGAATCAGTTGCCTGCTTAGCATGAATTTATCCCGATATGCTTAGAAAGCAGAGCTCCTTATGGAGTAAGGATTTTCAACACCTGACCAATCAAGCAATTATTGATGACAAACTAGTGAATCACGAGTAAAACCGAATTTAATCAACACAAATCAAACCATCTAACCTGCCAACATTCCCAAGAATATACACACCACCCTGATGATTACACCATTACTAAATCTTTCCAAGAAAGATGGAGGAGACGGAAGATTACAAAAGAAAATAAAGATTAACAAGTTACCTTTGTTGCGTTGCTAAACTAGAAAAAAGAACCTCATGCACCTCAAAATGTTTTCGGACAGAATAACTTCATCACCAAATGTCATGTCCAAGCTAAAACCAAACCAATCTCCCCACACTTGAGCGTTGCTTGCCCCCAAGCAACAGTGCATTAAAACCACGAAAACAAAATAATCACATGTAACACCTGGTTCAAAAATCATTCACACCCAAAACAAATGATTGCACAAGGTCTTTTCTTTCTTAACAACGAAACCAAGATTCACATGTTAAACAATATTATCAAAAGTAAAATCCCTCTCCAACCGACTAAAATGTAGAGAAAAGAATTATGGTCCCAATGGTGTAGGTGTGTGAAATCCAAACCACCAATCATTCCAAAAACCCAAGAATTGTGTGATAAAACCGGTATGCTCGTGATTCATTTTTTTTTTGAAAAGTTGGCGAGGTTGTGGATTACGGGGCCGATTCTAGCTATAGGGCCTGGGAGTTTATCTCATTACTATGCATACTCAACTCTCACACGGGGTGATTCGTGAGATGAGCAGAGTCCCTTTCCGGAGATGAAATTCTCGACACACGAAGTGTAACCCCATAACAAGAATCAGTTGCCTGTTTAGCATGAATTTATCCCGATATGCTTAGAAAGCAGAGCTCCTTATGGAGTAAGGATTTTCAACACCTGACCAATCAAGCAATTATTGATGACAAACTAGTGAATCACGAGTAAAACCGAATTTAATCAACACAAATCAAACCATCTAACCTGCCAACATTCCCAAGAATATACACACCACCCTGATGATTACACCATTACTAATTCTTTCCAAGAAAGATGGAGGAGACGGAAGATTACAAAAGAAAATAAAGATTAACAAGTTACCTTTGTTGTGTTGCTAAACTAGAAAAAAGAACCTCATGCACCTCAAAATGTTTTCGGACAGAATAACTTCATCACCAAATGTCATGTCCAAGCTAAAACCAAACCTCCCCACACTTAGGGGTGACATCGCCCTCGAGGTCAAAGAAAAGATTAAAACAAAAATAACAGGGGCAAATTAACGAGTAAAATGATTTTTAGCCCGGCAACACATCATAATCAGAATAATAATCAACACAAATCAACAAAGGAGTAATATGATAGTAAGCACACATTTTCAGCAGCGTAGTTAGAGTTGACAGGTTACCGTATAAGCCAAACTGCAGTGAATAACCTCCAGCTTAACATAAAACTCAGCATCTGATAGCCCCTCGGTCTCTGGTGGTGAGATATTCGGTCTTAGAACCATGATCTGCAAGGTGAAATGACTCTCCTAGATGTGTAGATGCCGCTGAATCCTGCCACTGGAATGCTGCAATAATACTGAGGCTGGGCAGTTTGTCCAAAGTGTGGTGAACCAAGGCCCAATAAACAATGGTCTACTGTCAGCGGGCAGCTGATTCGGCCCTCAAAAATCAACCACCATCCAAAAACTGCCATCAAAGTCATGTCCCATCAAATTGCACTTGATGATTGTGCTTGTCGTCGCTTCTTCTTCTAAACAGCGGTGCTCCTGCGGACAGCGAAAGAGCTCACGAACTCCATGGTGCATGGCAGCTGGTTTCACTCCTGGAGCATGCGTAAGTCTCCAATTACTGTCTCCAACTATTGGCCTTGAAAGTGTCTGCTGCCGGGTCTCCACGGACCTTCTGTAAAGTAAACGGGAGTTGGTAGCCAGTATCCTTTAGGAGCTCCATTTATATAGGGCTACACTTCTTCTTCCACACCAGTCCATGTCATATCTACAATTCAAAGAAAAGAAATCCAAGCGCACAAGCACAAGATGAAAACACAAAAACAAAGACAAAAAAATGCATAAACAAGAGATACTAAACTCCTAATTCCTTTTTTTTTAATTTTTTTTTTCAGTTTTTTTTGTGGGTTGCCTCCCAGAAGCGCTTCTTTAACGTCACTAGCTTGACGATAAAATCTCATTCAAAGACGGGTTCGAGGCTTAAAACCTCCTTCTGCTTTTCAAACATTCCCCCAAAATAGTGCTTGAGTTGGTTGCCGTTGACCTTGACAACCCGGCCGTCATTATGCTCAATCTCCACACTTCGATAGGGATAAACTCGACGTACAATGTATGGTCCCGTCCATCGGGACTTCAGCTTCCCAGGAAAAAGTCTCAACCTTGAATTATACAACAACACCTTCTCCCCCTCTGCAAACTGGCGGTCTGCCTTAATGTGCTTGTCATGAGCTTGTTTTACTCTCTCTTTGTATAAGTATGAATTATGAAAGGCCCGAGCCCTCAACTCATCCAATTCATTCACCTGAAAGAACCGCTCCTTACCTGCACTAGATGAATCAAGACAAACAGTCCTTAAAGCCCAGAGTGCCCTATGCTCTACCTCCACAGGTAAATGACAAGACTTCCCATAAACTAATCGAAAAGGAGTAGTACCAATCGGAGTCTTATAAGCTGTCCTAAAAGCCCATAGCGCGTCATCTAATTTTTCTGACCAATCCTTACGAGTTTGCGCTACAGCTTTTTCTAGGATAGCCTTAAGATCCCGATTTGCATTCTCTACTTGCCCCTGAGTTTGGGGGTGGTAGGCTACTCCTTGCCGATGTTGAACCCCATATTTAGACAAAACACGAGCTAGCGGATCATTACGAAAATGGCTTCCTCGATCACTAATCAAAACTTTGGGGACTCCAAACCTAGAAAATAATTTTTTTACAAAACGCACAACCACTCTAGCATCATTAGTAGGGCTCGCAATAGCCTCTACCCATTTCGACACATAATCAATAGCGACTAAAATAAATTTATTGCCTCTTGAGCTAGGGAACGGGCCTACAAAATCAATCCCCCAGACATCAAAAACTTCACAAGGCAATAGATATGTCTGGGGCATCTCATCTCGTTTAGAAATATTTCCTACCCGTTGACACCTATCGCATGAGGCAACATAAGAATTCGCATCTTTGAACAACGTGGGCCAGTAATACCCACACTCTAACACTCTTCTTGTTGTCCTATTACCAGAAAAATGCCCCCCAGTGGGGCCAGCATGACAATGGTAAAGAATCTCATTCATTTCATCCTCAGGAATGCACCTTCGTACTACCTGGTCAGCACAAATCCTGAACAAATAAGGATCATCCCAGAAATAATACTTAGCATCGGACAGAAACTTTTTTAACATGTGTCGAGATAGCCCGCTAGGCTCAACATTGCCTACTAAGTAGTTGGCTATGTCTGCATACCAGGGTACCTCAGATCCAATCTCAACCTGCAAAAGACGTTCATCAGGAAAAAGTTCTTCAATAACCTCATTACCGAAAGAGTCTACCAAGTCAGCATCTAATCGTGATAAGTGATCAGCTGCTTGATTGGCGGAACCCCTTCGGTCCCTAATCTCTATGTTAAATTCCTGCAACAACAAAATCCAACGGAGAAGTCTAGGTTTAGAGTCGTGCTTCTGAAATAAATATCTCAACGCCGAATGATCGGTGTAGATAATTACTTCAGATAAAATAATATACGACCTAAACTTCTCCAAAGCATGCACAATAGCTAGAAGCTCTTTCTCTGTAGTGGTATAATTCAATTGGGGTCCCGCTAAGGTTTTGCTAGCGTAATAGATGGGGCGGAAGTGATTATCTTTCCGTTGGCCAAGAATGGACCCGACCACCTGATCGCTAGCATCGCACATTAGCTCAAAAGAGATTTCCCATTCTGGAGAAACTAAAACTGGAGCTTCCATCAACTTAAGTTTCAAACACTTAAAAGCAAGCAAACATTCATCATCAAACAAAAAATCAGCATCTTTCTCAAGCAAACGGGTGAGAGGTTTGGCTATTTTTGAGAAATCCCGAATAAAGCGACGGTAGAAGCCGGCGTGCCCAAGAAAGCTACGGACAGCCTTTACGGTTGTTAGAGGCGGGAGTTTCTCAATGGCCTCAATTTTTGCCTTGTCAACCTCAATACCCTTAGATGACACCTTATGACCTAGCACAATACCCTCCTTGACCATGAAGTGACACTTTTCCCAACTCAAGGCCAAGTGGGTCTCCTCACACCTAATCAACACTTTCTCTAAATTATGGAGGCATTCATCAAATGACTCCCCAAAAATAGAGAAGTCATCCATAAAAACCTCCATAAAATCACCAATAAACTTCTCAAAGATAGCAATCATGCAACGCATAAATGTGGCAGGAGCATTGCATAGACCAAAAGACATCCTACGAAATGCAAATGTCCCAAATGGGCAAGTAAAAGTGGTCTTTTCCTGGTCAACGGGATCAACGTGTATTTGAAAGTACCCGCTCATCCCGTCAAGGAAACAATAATAAGCATGCCCTGCCAAACTCTCAATCAACTGATCAATAAAAGGTAAGGGGAAATGATCCTTCCGAGTGGCTTCATTTAGTTTACGGTAATCAACGACCATCCGCCACCCAGTCACCGTCCTACTAGGTAGGAGTTCCCCCTTCTCATTCTGAATCACCGTCATACCCCCCTTCTTGGGGACCACGTGAGTAGGGCTAACTCATTGGCTATCTGAAATTGGGTAAATTATACCCACATCCAAAAGCCTCAGGACTTCTGCCTTTACCATTTCCATCATCTTGGGGTTTAAACGTCGTTGCGGTTGCACGACTGGTTTATACCCCTCCTCACACTTGATTTTGTGGGTACAGAAGGTTGGGCTAATCCCACGAAGATCCTCAAGCTTACGCGCAATGACTTGCTTGTGACACCTAAGGACATCCATCAATTTTTCCTTCTGTCCCGACTCTAACTGGGCTGAAATAATGACAGGGTGTTGGCCCTGTGTGTCTAAAAATGCATACTCCAGGTGACTAGGGAGCGGTTTGAGTTAAGGAGTAACCTTATCGGTGGGCTGCTCCTCAAACTCAGTAAGCAACGTAGGGAAATCATCATTCCTAATCACCTGCTCGTAGTCAACAGTCATTTCTTCTTCATTTTCAGCCACCATATCCCCCACATAATGAATGTCACTAACAGGTGGGGTAATATCACTATCACCTCCAAATAAATACCCCTCCACTGACTCAAACATATCAAGATAATGGCATGATTCAGCGGGGTCTGAGGCCTTACTCATCACCTCTGAGAGTTTAAAAGTGCACACATCGTCCCCAACTCTCAGAGAAAGTGAACCAGCAGCAACATCGACAAGGGCCCTAGCAGTAGCCAGAAAGGGCCTCCCTAAAATAAGTGGAGTCTCACGATCTTCCTCCATGTCCATGACCACAAAATCAACAGGGAATATGAACTTGTCCACCCGTACTAATACATCCTCTAGAATTCCTTTCGGATATTTCACCGATCGGTCCGCTAGCTGAAGGCTCATACGAGTGGGCTTTAGTTCACCCAAGCCAAGTTTCATGACCACAGAGGAAGGCATCAGATTGATGCTAGCTCCTAAATCAGCTAAAGCATTATTAAACATAAAATTTTCAATAGAACAAGGTACAGTAAAACTCCCTGGGTCTTTTAGCTTCGGAGGCATAGTCTTCAGAACAACTGCTGAACATTCCGCATTAAGATCCACCACTTCCGGCTCTTCCCACCTTTTTTTTCGTGAGGAGATCCTTCAGAAATTTTGCGTACCTCGGCATCTCCGTCAAAGCTTCTATGAATGGGACATTAATATGAAGCTGCTTCAGATGCTCCATAAATCTAATCAGGTTCGTGTTATCATTGCTTCTCTTCACCCGTGTAGGGAATGGGAGAGGTGGAGTCGTCTTACTCTTCTCTTTCTTCAGAGAATCTTCTTTCTGAGCTTCATTACTCCTGGAAGGAATAGGGACAACCACTGGTTCTTCTTCAACCTCCTGGGATTTCGGGTCTTGATGTCGTTGGTCATCATTTTGTTGAGGCAATGGTGGAGTATTAACTTCTGTAAGGATCTTCCCACTACGTAGTGTAACGGCCTGCACTTGCTCCCTTGGATTGGGTTCTGTTGAACTCGGAAGGCTGCCTGGTTCTCTAGGAGCAACTGAACCAAGCTGACGGATAAGAGCTTCTAGGTTTCTGAAACGCTGGTGCATCTCCGCTTGATTTTTGGCTAATTCAGCCACTGTTTTCTCTAGCGCTGCATTTATCGGAGGTGGTTCAAGCTGTCTTTGGTGAGGCGGGACATAAGTGGGCTGATTTGGATTGCCTCTATTCTGAAAATTTGCTTGGTAATTGGGAGCATTCCGCTGCCCCTGATTCTGATTTTCAGGTCTCCACGAGCCTCCTCCTTGCTGAAAGTTTCCTCTCTGAACTTGATTGTTGAAAAACTGCCCACCAGCTCTTTGGCCTTGACCGTATTCCATGAAATTCACATCACGGACCACTGGAGCTGCCTGATTCTGAACATAAAGAGGGCAGGTGTGAGTGAGGTGAGCTCCCATGCACATTTCGCAAGATAAAGCTAGTTCTTGGCCAGTTGGACTTGGATAACTTGCTCGAACTGGAAGTGGGGCAGAATACATAGGATAAGAGGGCTGATATGCCCCAATATTGTGAACATGTTGCTGCTGAGAGGTCTGTGCCTTCAAGTCTTTGACATCCACTGCCAGTCCCTCGATCTTCGCTGTGAGTGCAGTGATGGGATCTAAATTGAGCAGACCAGGTGGATTTTGAGCTCTCTCCTTGCCCGCGTACCAATATTTATCATTTGAAGCCAAATTCTCTATTATCTGCTCTTCTGCCTCTGGGGACAATTTTAGAAACATAGCCCCCTAAGATGCCCGGTCTAGTTCTCTCATATACTCCAGCCGAAGACCATTATAAAATCTGCACATAATGGTTGCTGAATTCATGAATGTTTCTGGACACTTCCTTCTCAGCGTCTTAAGCCTATCCCATGCTTCACTGAAAGTCTCTGTCAGAGCTTGGGTGAAGTTGAGAATTTCTCTCTGAACTTTGATAGCGGCAGAGGGAGGAAAGTACTCCTGCATAAATGCCTGATGAAGCTTCTCCCATGTATCAAAATGCCCGTTTGGAAAGCTACGGAGCCACCGTGATGCCTTGTCTCTCAACGAGAATGGAAATAAGGTCAACCTCACCGCCTCGCTGGATACCCCATTGTATTTGAATGTGGCACATGTCTGAATAAAGCTCTCAATATGTTCCATTGGATCTTCATGGGTGTATCCGCAGAATGGATTATTAGCAAGCATCTGCATCATGGCCGGCTTGATTTCAAAATTGTTGGCCTCAATGGTGGGTGCACCAATGCTATTTCTCGCCACATAGTTAGGCGTCAACTTCTCCAGAGTTGTCTCATCGGCCATTTTGTTCAAGTCTTCTAGCAACCGCCTTTTAGCTCTTCCTCGGAATAAGCGTTCAGGATCTGAATAACCTGCAATTAAGTCTTGTTCCCCCAAGGAGCGAGTGTGCATGCACTGGTTCCTGCAGCTTAGTTCACGTGCAAAGAACACCAAAAACAAAAACAAATAACAGAAAAGAAATAGAAAGTCTCACCGACTTGCTTTTACCTATTCCACAGAAAGTACTTAACAAACAACCGTGCCACTCCTCGGCAACGGCGCCATTTGATCGCTGTATTTTTTTTAGTGAGTAAAACGTAGTTGGTTAATACGTAGAATAACCAGACCACGAGTATCGTCTCTCAAGGAGTGGCAAAAAGGAAGTTTTAAATACTGTCCGTGATCACAGGCTAGCACAAGTCATGGTAATCTTTCCGAATAAATTGTTTTCAGGTGATTAAAAAAAAGTAAACTAACTAACAACGAGTGCAAAAAAATAAATAGAGTAAGTTTTTTTTTACCTGATTCTAGATATTAAAACAGGGTTCAAATTGAATGGTTTGGGTTCTGGGTGTTCTTTCGGGATTAAAATTAAGTAAATTAATTTTCAATTAATCCTGGATAGAAAATGAAATCAATTCTCAAAGATAAGAATTAAAATATATTATCACAATCCTAACTTATTTCTAAGATCAGATTGCTTGTATAAGATCCAAGCTAATTTAACGCAAATTCCATAGACAAGAATTGAATTAAATCCAAACATTCATATATGAGGCGATCAAATTCATATAGGCAATTAAGAGTAATCTTATACAATTTTCCAGAAAATTAATTGAATTTCAAAAACTAAATTCACACCCTCAAGAACCCATGAACCCTAGCCCCAATTCAAACCCTTTATGAAATTAGCTACTCATACTTAAAATTAACATCACAATAATATAATTAAGCATGATAAAGGCCTTGAAAAAAAACTGAAGTAAAATAATCGTTTGGGAATACTAAATTATCAGTGGGAGAAAAATAACTCCGAAATTATATCGTAAATTGAGAACAAGTAATGTAAAATGTATTTAACTTACGGTGAATGTTTGGAATCTAAATAAACTTGGAAGAAATTGAAGGAAGATTGGAGTTTAGAAACTGTTCTAAGTTTCTTTACTTCTGGTGCGGCTACTTCCATAGAACAGGACAAAGAATTGCAGGTTGGTCTAGTTGCTGCTGCGGTTGGTCCTCATGAGAAGGAAATAAAAATCTGCTAGTGCGTGACTAAGTGACAAGGTGCAGAAGGAACCCCCCCCCCCCCCCCCCAAAAAAAAAATCTACGGTTGCTTGTTTTTGTTCTTCGTGAATGAATGTGCCCCGGGGAAACCCCAACTCTTTTTTTCCCTTTTTGTTTTGGGCTGCTGCTATTTTTTTCTCTTTTGGGCTGAACTTAATTATTCTAAAAAAAAACTTCAATCTGTTCAGCCGAACATAACGTGACATTCACCGCAAAATTCAGTCTGTACAATCACAACTAACCACATCCGGTAAAAATATGTAATTTTACAATCAAATTACTCCAAAAATGTCAAATTGTGTAGACAAATACTAAACTGAAAATGAATGGCACCGGGACCGAAAAATTACAAATTTTCATTCAAAACCCCCAATAGTCACCCGATTAATTATAAAAATTAGACAATTAACACCCAAAATATGGGTGAAAAGATAGGAACGGAACGAGCCTATCATGAGGCTATGTTTGTGAGGGGTAGATCTAAGAGTAGGTCTAAGAATCAGAAACAGGATGCCCAAGCTAAAAATAGTAACCCAAATGGTAAGAAGAGGAATAAGTCTAGAAAACGTGTGTGCTACAACTGTGGCAATTCTAGCCACTTTATAAAGGACTGTCCCCATCCTAAGAAACCTGAGCAAGCTAGTGTAGCTATAGAGAGAGATGACCTTGGTGAGGTTCTCATGGTGTGTGACCATGTTAATTCTGTTCGTAATACCTTGACTGAGCATGAATGGTTAATTGATTCTGGTTGTACCTATCATATGACTCCTTTTAGGGATTTGTTTTCTAAATATGAGAAATGTGATATGGATTATGTTTCCTTGGCTGATAATAAGAGATGCAATGTTTTGGGTGTTGGTGATATATGTCTCAAGTTTTCTTGTGCCTCTGTGTTTACTCTTAAGAATGTGAGGCATGTCCCTGATTTGTGTCACAACTTTCTATATGTTGCTGCCTTGGAGGGTAGTGGATTAGAGGGAAAGTGGGGGAATGGTAGTATGAAAATTTTGAAAAATTCTCTGGTGTTGTTTAAAGCTGAGAAGGTGAACATCCTTTATGTGTGTCATGCTAAACCTTATATTGACTCTGTGAATGCTGTGAATGTTGTGCATACTGATAAAACCTTGTTGTGGCATAATAGACTAGGGCATATGAGTAATAAAGGTTTAGGGATCATGCATAAACATGGTTACTTTGGTAAAGACTCTGTGAACTCTTTGACTTTCTGTGAATCATGTGTGCTTGGTAAACAACATAGAGTCCAATTCCCTCTATCCTCTTATCCTAATATAACTAAGTGCTCCTATGTGCTTGAATATTAGGTTCTGTTCTATAGGTTCTGTGATGTATCTGATGGTTAGTTCTAGACCTGATATTGCATATGCTGTGAGTTGTTTGAGTAGGTTTATGTCTAATCCTGGTTTGCCTCATTGGAATGCTTTGAAATGGCTTTTGAGATACTTGAAATTTTCTGCAAATCATGGTTTGATTTTCACTAAGTATACTGAAGGTGTTAAACTGAGTGGTTATGTTGACTCTAACTATGCTAATGATAAAGACAATAGGAAATCTACCACTTCCTATGTGTTCACTTTGTGTGGTTCTTGTATTAGTTGGAAATCTCAGTTACAACCAATTGTTGCCTTATCAACCACTGAAGCTGAGTATGTTGCAGCTACAGAAGCCTTCAAGGAAGCCATCTGGTTAAGTCGTCTTGTTGCTGAAATAGGTTTTCTTAAACAAGATGTTACTGTGTTTTTTGATAACCAGTCTGCTATCCAGCTTTGCAAAAACCCTATTTTTCATGATAGGACCAAACACATTGATGTGAGGTTCCACTTTATTCGTGATGTTTTAGATGCAGGTAAGGTGAAGCTGTGCAAGATACCCTCAGAGTTCAACCCTGCAGATATGGGGACGAAGTGTCTATCTGCTGAAAAACTTTTGTCTTGTAAACGAATTTTAAATTTGGACTGCAGTTAACTCTGTTTGCAGGTTTTGGGTATGTTGGAGGGTAGATTCTTGAAAGCGTAGTGCTTGAGAGAATCTGCTCTCACGGTTAGGGAGAGTACTTTGGGTACTTCTCCAATTTCCTTTTGGGAGTATTTTGTGTATCTCCAATTTGTTTGCCAGTTATGTCTTTAGGATATCACTGGTGACCCAGCGATGATGAACCACATGCTCATGTTACGTTGTGATACCATGCACCACCAATGATGGCCAATAAGGTGGAGAGTGTGGAGGAATTGGCCCCACGGGCCAAGGCAGGCCTCTTCACACTTGTTGGGCCTGTTTGCTTGCCTCTTGCCCTGGCCCAAGTTGTTCTGCCGCTAGTCTTTCTTCTGGAACCCTCCTTTAAGGCTTCCCCTCTTGCCCGAGTACTTAAGCCCCTCTTCGTCTTTGGTTGACGCTGAGGTCTTCGGTTAGAGAGAGAGTGAGGTTAAGAGAGAATAGTGAGAGAGACTTCAGTCTCTTCTCCATTCCGGTCCCTCTGTGGTCTTCTCTCTGTGCTTCCCCTTTTCTGACCTTTGGCATGCGTTGAGATGGCTGGCCTGGCCTGAGTGTTCTTGTCCCTTCCGGTGGTGCTTGGTTGTGTGTGTTGTATGAGCGTGGTCTGAGCTGGAGAGGTGAAAACCTGACAGCATATAATATAGACTATATTATATGATGAAATGAGGCAAAGTGATAAATATGATGAAATCCAAATTTTGTCTGTGCGATACTCAACATCAGTCTTCTCTTCTATTTATATATAAGAAAACAAATAGCTCATTAAAATACTATTTTGCCCTTATTAAAGTTTACGTGTTCACCTTCCCAAGTTTGTCTCCTTTCACAATCCTAAAGGAGACAAACTTGTGAAGGAGAACACATAAGCTTTAATAAGGGCATAATAGTATTTTAATGAGCTATTTGTTTTCTTATATATAAATAGACTTGCAACTAAAAAACGGAGGAGTAATTAAGCGGAAGGTTTTTCTTTCTCATATATAGTGTTTTTAAGTATAAGATAAGATAACCAGACTTATAATTTTACAGAAAAAAATTATCTCTTACATGTCCTGCTTTTAGATATAACATGAGCTGACTAATAACTGAACAATAGAATTTCCTCTCTAATATATAGATAATATAGTGTTTTTAGGTATAAGATAAACGGACTAATAATTGAGCGCGAGAGTTTTCTCTCTAATATGTATATAGTGTTTTTAGGTATAACATAAGCGGACTAATAAGTGAGCGGGAACATTGTCTCTCTCTTATATAATCTTTTTGGTATGAGAAGATTAGATAAGCTCAGTAGTAACTGAGCGGAATAAGTTTCTCTCTCATATGTAGTGATTTTAAGTACGGAGTATAAGATAGAGAGAATTCCCTAAATAGGAGTAAAAACGTTTTGAAATTCCAAAATAGGAGTATCATGTTTTTTATTCCTTGAATATGAGTAAATTTTTGCCAAGTTTGGCATTACTAGGCTTTAAAACATGACATTTTTTTTTCAAACTTCGCAAATTACTCTTATTCAGGGAATAAAAAACATGATACTCCTATTTTGGAATTTCAAAACATTCTTGCTCCTATTTAAGTGAGCAAGAAAATTTTCTCTTTCATATCAGTCATATGTAGTACATTTAGATATAATATACTCCGTATAAGCGAACTAATAATTGAGTACAATGATTTTATCTCTCATACGTACTACTTTTAGTTACTCTGTATACGATAGATAAACGAGCAAATAATTGAGTGTCAAATAATTGACAGATAGAGAGTGGAGCTCTATCCTCTGTACTTGCAGATGCCCTATGCATTTTTAGCATAATAACCCCTCATCGCAGTTGGCGGGATTCGAACTCGGAACCTAACCCTTGTGGCACTTTCTTGCTACTAGTTGAGCTACGCCCACCGATTTCCAAAGTGCAATAAACACTCACGTAAATGCACAAACACCTATCGTATGTACGTAGTAATTATTCAAAATCCAAAATCAAACTGATTTGTTGACACATTTTGTGATTAACAAATATAAAGCATAAATATATATTACTCCGTATCAATATTTACTAAAGAAAAAAATCATATCCCATAATTTGTTCATCGATATTATAAAAAATGCAATATTCTAATTGGGATCTAGATTGTCATCATTAGATGATTTATATTAGAAGAGAAAGCGGTCCAGCTCAGCTGGTCGACGACTCACTCTCCCTTATGAGAGGTGCAGGTTCAATACTGAATGATGTGCATTTGATCCTAGTTTACCTGAGACCTCCTCTCCTCGACCCCTCTGCGTAAAAAATGATTGATGTTAGAAGATAATAAAAGACTGAATCAAAAAATTATATATATCTTATCAAGATCAAAACATTATAAAAAACGGTCCTATCCGGATTTAGAATGTTTTTAGTTGAGTTGTAAAATAGACATAAAACAAACATAAAACAAACTTAACTAAACAGAGCATACTAGTTTAGACAGGTCCTGAATAGATCTGACCAGGCTAGATCAAAAAATTTTACTCGATTTACGTACATCATCCTTAATGAAGACCGACTCAACAAAATCAAGATCAAGTTGGCACTTGGGTAAATTTTCACACCCCTAATTGTAGTATGAAAAGTTTTTCATCATTTCATAAAAATTTGAGCCATGATTTTGATTAGTATAACATTATGAAAATTATACTCCATAAATTTTATACTTTTATGAAAATACCTATTTTAGAATTATGAAAATACTTTTAATAAAGAATATTTTTATATCATTTTCATATTATAAATAATTTCTAATAAAAATGTATTTGGTCAAAGTTCTAATAAAGATGATAAAGTTATTTGAGATAGGTAGTATATTGTTGTTGGATGGAAGACAATTTAATTATTTTCCATTTTGTAAGTGATTAATCTGATTTAGTTTAGGGTTTAGGCCTGTGATATATAATTAATAAAATGGGGCAGATGGCATAGTAATAGAAGTAATTATTTTCCGTTTTGTAAGTGATTAACTGATACGTGAATGATATAGAAAAATTTTCCGTTTTGTAAGTGGAAAAATTTTCCGTTTTGTAAGTGATTAATTAACTTCGGTTTTGTAAGTGATTAACTAATGCCGAGTGATGCCATGAATGTTTTCTTGCTGCCTAAAGAACTTTGTGATGATATAGAAAAATTAATGAATGAGTTCTGGTGAAGAGGCTCAAAGCTGGATCAGAAATGGCTGAGATGGAGGAGTTGGAAGGGCTTGTGTAAACTGAAGGAGGTCGGTGGCTTGGGATTCAGGAGACTGAGAGAGTTTAATTTGGCTATGCTTGGTAAACAGGGTTGGCGGTTAACTATTGAAGAAAATTGCTTGATGAGCCAGGTTCTTAAGGCAAGATATTTTCTGAATTCGAGTATTTTTTAATGCAAATTTGGGTAATATCCCTTCTTTTTATCTGGAGGAGCATTTTTGAGA